TGCATTTTTCCCCTTCAGGGAAAGACAAATGATGAAGTCTTCAGGATCTAGAATTTTTGGACAACCCAAAACAAAGTGTTGCATTTTTCCCCTTCTGGTGCATTTGGGTACTCGTAACTAGCTTTTCTAAATTAATCTTATATGCAATATACACTTTCACACACTTTTCACAAGTTGAAGATCTTCATGGAAATAGCCACTCTACGATGTGGTAGAGGTCAGGTTTGCTTACATCTTATTACCTCTCTTTGACCCCACCTCCGGATTAGACATACCGAGCTCGTTTGGTTTTGTTTCGTAGGATGATGGAAAAGAGGGTTTTTTAATATGAAAAACAGTTATATGTTGTGTTTTTGCTCAAGAACTATAAAGTCAAAAGCTTTGGTGAGTATTTTTCATTCTATGCCTGTTTTGATAATTTACTTTTCCTTGCCATTGTTTTTGGATGATTTCAGTTCCTCGTTGGGACGAGGATGAGTCAACACCATATCAGATAAGAGAAACGACGCGTGTTCGCACCATTGGTTATGTTGGAGACGAATGGTGAGTCCTATTTTCACGAATTCTAATCTTCAGAAACATGTATATAACCTTTAACTTTTGTGTTGAACTCATAATTCAACAGGGACGAAGAATATGACAGAGGAAAGAGGAAGAAATTAAGGATTTCGAAAACTGAATTTGATGGAAAGAACCCGTTTCAAGATATTGCAAACGAGAGGTTAAAGGGGGTGCATGCAGAAAAACAACAGTTGTCGAAGAGACCTTCAAAAAGCAAGGCGTTTAACGAGTCGCGATCTGGTAACAGACCTATCAGGATATGATGATGATGATGCCGAAACTGATCCAAGATTTTTGTTTCTGAGAAGTGAGAATGCCCGACATATTTTACCAGGTATTTTCTTAGAAAATTCTTTTTGCGGTTTGTAGATTTTGCTGGAGGGTGTGGGAGTAATTTTTGTTTTGAAATTAGGGTTTTGTTTTGAATTGATGATGATGGTAAAAAAATGTATGCTTTTTCTATATTTTGAACTCGATGTACGTTTAAACATGTTTACTTGTGGGTTATCAAGACTTGGATCCAAATAAAGCAATTTAAGGGGATTGATCCAATTCCTTCTCTATTTGTTGTTTTTCTACGATATGAAATGAAACCCAAGATTCTTTTGGGCTGAAAAAAATGCATCCTTTTGGTCCCACCAACATAAGTGGAACAAAAATCAGATCGATGAATTATCAAACTGTCTATGTCAAATTAAAACTCGTCTACTTTTTCGATTGTCAGATTGTGTCCAATTTCCTCCTCGTACCGAACCGAACGTGTGTTAATAATGCTCGTCTCTTTTGTTAGGGTAAAGACATATAATTATGTAAATATTGAATATTTTAGGAACTATCGACCATCTATATAGTATTCATGATGAATAACGTGATAAATATTCATAATGAATAATACTCGTTGCTATTCATCATGAATACTAAATAAAATAGGTAGAACGAGGATTTCTAAAATATTTTAGGTTATTAAATGAATCTTTCCCCCTCTCCCCCCTCTCTCTCTCTCTCTCTCTATATATATATATATATATACATTCCATAAAAATTTATAGAGGTGAGTTATTATACAATCTTTACATTTGTACAATTAATACAACTCAATCTTAACCGTCCATTTAATTTGATGAATATGTGATTTAATAGAAGTTTTGATTGTTTACTAATATAAAGTATTGATCATAATTAATGAACCCTATTTATTTTCTATAAATATTCAAATCATAATAAATGAGCTCCCATTATTTCTATAAATATCTCAATTAATTGGGTTGCATTGGTTGAACAAATGAATATAATTGCATTTGAAATATAACGTATATGTATGTATCATGGGATACAATGATGGTAAAGCATGCAAAAGATGGAAGAAGCTTTTTTCTACTTTGTTTATCTTTTGAGAGAAGCAATGTATGATTGGTTATGAGCATGAATTGAGGCATCATGATTACAGTTACAGTTCCCATGATAGCTTTCTTCTTCATCAAGAAGCCAAGTTTCCATAAGTGAGTGTGTAGAGTATCATCACTTCATATCTTTTCCACAAACCCTTAAAATCAAGTTTAATCATTCATTATAGATTCTTACGACGTCGTATTTTATTCATGATCTGCATTCATTGCCGTCGATCGTTGGTTTCTAATTCTAATGAAAAGTAAAATACGAACAAGGTTCCCAACCCTACAAGATTATAATTAGTGTCATCGTGATTTCATTTTCCGTTATAGATCAGGTCTCTTGTCTTAAATGCTGCTAAATTTGCTTCGTTTAACGCCATATATGCTCCCCTTTTTTTATAATACTTGAAGGGTACTCGTGCAATGCATCGAGACACATCTTGATTTTAGTGTTTCATTTTATTCTTTTTTTACATCTTTTTAAAAGTTTTTGTGGTTTGGTGTAATTTTCTTAATTCAATTTTCTTAATTATAATTTAATTTAGGTTTACTAACAAAGAAATTTAATTTAGGTTTAATAATATAATACTTTATAAAGATAATAACTAAGTATTCTATTAGAACTCAATGATTATCCTAATTATATTTTAGATTTTTTATATTTAAAATGAGATATTTATCTAATATTTGATTATGTTTATCTGCAGTTAGTTACACGAATTCAAATATGGAACTTTAATAAATTATATTTATGTATAATTGTAATCTTAAATATGTATCGTAATATACATCAATAAATTTTTTTGTTAAATACTTTATAATATAGTATAGATTGTATTAGATTCAAAGAAAGAGTAGGAAAGATGATTTCCAACAATAAATTAAACACATATTTGGAGAATCTTAAAACCTCGTTTCAATCAAACCTTTAGATTGCATCCAGTACTATTTTTTACAATTATTTAAGAAAATATTATATTAAAAATATCATGGGGGATTTAATTATTTGCATGTCGTGGCTTAAAATTGGTATGAGTGTTCTCGACATCATTACATCATTTCATGTATTTATTTTCTTTTATTATCAACTCTCTAATATTTATATCATAAAAAAACTTTATTAAAAAATCAAAATCTAATAAATTAAATATAATCTATATATATATATATATATATATATATATATACTAGAAGCGTACTCGCGCAATACAGCGAGATACATCGTGATTTTAATATTTTATTTTATTATTTATCTCAGCTGATGTTATAATATGGCTTTATGTGATTTTTAGAAAACGATGGTGTTTTTATTTTTAAATAAAATATATGTTTGAAGATATCATAAAAATTTGACAAAAATATATCGATATTAGCATCAAATTAACTATTTGAAATTCCTCATTTATTGTGTAATTTTTTAATTCAAATTTTTAATAATTTAATTTATGTACAATAACGAAGTAATTCATATTTAGTTTAATAATATAATTTTTTTATAAAGATAATAATTATTTATTTTGTTGGAACTCGATAATTATTCTAATTATATTTTATATTTTTTATATTTTAAAATGAGATGTTCATCCTCTATTTGATTATGTTTATCCCTAGTTATTTATACAAATTCAAAAATCAAGCTTTAATAAGTTGTACTTATGCATAATTACTTGTAATCTTGAATTTTAAGTAATATGCATAAATATACAGTACTTTATGCATAACAAAAATATATCGATATTCATACCAAATTAACTATTTAAAATTCCTCATTTTTT